GTAATATATCGTTATATATCCTAAATTATCGATAAATGCCGTTTTTATCTTATCGATATATATCGATGTTTTGCTATATATCGATATGTATCTATATAAAAAATTTTCTGATGATTACGCATGTTTGCAATTTATTTTGAATTATTGCAATTTAATATACGTAATATTGCGTAATTTATTACATATATATTTCATAATATTCCGTAATTGATAATTGCATAAGATTTCGTGTCGTTGCAAAATTCTTGTACAAGATTTTGGACTGTAATAACTTACGTAAAATTATGTTTATATATTTTGCTAATGTAGTTATAACTAGATAGTTTAAATAGGTACCCCTCTAGTTGGGGTGCAAGAGGACTTGAGCTATATATAGATAGATTAGAGATTACTAAAAAAAGAAATTTTTAGTATAAAATCATTAAACATTGTGTTTTTAAATAGTAAATTTTGCAAATTTTGGTCAAAATAAGCAATTTTAAGCAAAATTTTGTATAAAACACCAAACCTCACTTTTTGTCAAAATTTTTTTGAAAGACTGGCAAAAGACAAAAGTAAATAATTAAGAAACCACTTAACTAGTAAAAAGAGTATGGCTTAAGAAAAATAAATTTCGTTGTTTTCTTTAGGTCATCTTTGAAATAACAACTTAAAAGTTTTGTTGACAAAGCTAGATGAACTATATTCCACCAAGATTTTTTATACAGAACATTTCCTGCCAGTTATCTTGTATAATAATACTCTTGGCTTGCATGTCAAATATTGTCTGTAAAAAAGTTCTATAGAGCAAACATTGATCTGCTAGACAAACTACTTTATAGGCTATAACTTTTCAACAAAATTTTAGTTTTTCTATTAGTGAAAATTTTGGTTTAAGTGATTGTTAATATATAAATATAATATAATATATTGGGTATTTATTTTTGGTGCACTCTGCACCATGTGCACTCCTTTGCTATATCTCAAAATTTTACTAGAGTAACTCTGTTGTATAACTAATAAAAAATGATCCTTTTGCAATTTTATTCTAAGCTTAACTTTAACTTTAATTCTGACACTAATCTAATTTAACTTAACCTACTCTAACTATTACTAAATTCAAAGTTTTTATAAAGGTGCACATGGTGCACCCCTGTATCAAATATAATTTGTTTAATATATTTTATTTTTTTATTTTTATATTTTTTTATTTAAGCTATTTATTTATAGAAAAAATCTATTTGTAACAAGATATTATATGCTTATTTGTAATAGTTTATTATGGTAAAATATATTAGAGTTAATATTAGTGTTAGTGTTAGTGTTAGGGTTAGTGGTAGGGTTAGGTTTAGAGTTAGGTTTAAAGTTATTGTCAAGATTATAATTAGAGAATATACTATAAATATATATTGCTGATCATATCATTTATGATAATAGAATGCTAATCTAATGGTTCCAGAAATTTTTTTATGTTAATTCAAGAATAATCATTAACTAATCAAATCAACTGAATAGAAAAAAAATTTGTTATTATGCAAACTAGAATATTCTAAATCTTGTTTACTTTTTTAATAGTTTATTTATTTTTTTAATAAGAGTTAACTAGAGTGAATTATTGTAGATTATTTAAACTATATGTTTTTTACTATCTATTAATGCTTTTATTTAGGAGTTTTAAGCAATAAATAAAACATGTAAAAAATTTTCTAAAACTGCTGGCAAGAAGTCGTACAAAAGCCAATCAAATCTATGCAGATCATTCTAGAACCAGATTTTCTAATTTGCTTTAATTTGGTATATTATTTGACTAGATTAATACAAAATTGCAAGAGAGTTATTTTTTATTAATAGCAAAAAAGATTATCTTAATAAAATTTTAAGTTATAGACAAACTGTTACAAATAAGCATGTAATATCCTGTTACAAATAGATTTATTCTTATTTATAAATTTATAAATTGTAATATAAGTTTAATCTACAAATATAACTAACTATATTTAAATATAATAGTATGCTAGTTTTAAAAAATATATTTATATATTGGGTGCTTTTAGGCATCTCTGGCCAGAGATGCCTAGTTTATACATCTCTGGCCTTATGGCCAATCAAAATGCACGTATATCACGTGACTCACGTTTTCGCGTAGCACAACGGTTACACAAAATACAATTCTTCCGAATTAGTCCGACGAAGCAAAACAACAAAAAAAACACGACAAAAATAAAAAAATGTGGAAAATATTAAAAACTGCCATCTAAACCTATATTGTGGCACTAAGTAAAAATATTGAGAAGACAATTTTACTTATAATATTTCCCTTCGCAATAACCCTAACCCAAACTTTAACTCAAACCTTAACTTGATTAAAATTATTTAACAGACATTGTTTTGATCAAAGATGTATAAGTTAGGCATCTCTGGCCAGAGATGCCTATAATTTCCCTTATATATTATATAAAAAACCTTTTTAAATATACTTCTTTTGAAACTATTTTAAAAATATATACTTTAAAAAAAGCATGTATTTATAGAAAGCAAAATATATAATGCTATTATAAGCTAAAGTCTATATTATATATTTAAAGAGATTTTATATAAAGTGTATATTTATAAAAAGTGTATTTGGAGAAGTCTCTATATTTTTAAAAAAATAATCAATTATTAAGTTTTTATAAATTTTGTATATAAAATTTTTCAATTATTATAAAATTCACCTATGGTGTTTAGCACCATATATAATTGTTTTTAATAAAATTTAAGGTTAGGGTACATTTTTATGAATTTTTTTTTTTTTATATATATTATAAAATATATTAGATATAAGGTTTTGATTTTAGTTTTTGAGAGGTTTTTAAACATTTTTACTTAGAATAATCGATCCAGTTTACTTAGTACGTTTTTGAGAAATAGGGACCTATGATATTAAACACCATAGGTGCATTTTAGTAAACCCGAACTTTTTAATACAAATTTTTTCATGTTAAGGTTAGTATTAGAGTTATAATTAGGGTTTGAGAAGGTTTTTTTTAGGGCATAGAACATTTTTACTTAGAATACTTCATGCCAATTAATTATGCAGTTTTTGAAAAAACATATATATAAGTATTAAACATCATAGGTGCGTTTTAGTAAACTCCAAAATAATTACAATTTATATTTTTAAACTGTATACACTAATAAATAAAATTCAGTTCTAATCATTTAATACGTACTATATACGCACTAATATAAATTTAATAAATTTTTATATATAAAATTTATACATACACATATATATATATTAAAATTTTTTATCCCTTATTTCTGTATTTTATTATGAAAAAACTAATCAGAATTTAATTTGAAGACTTTTGAATATGCATACTATTTAAAAAAAAAAATACGCGAAAATGCTAAATTTGTGAAATGTGATGACTAAATTATGTGTAACACCAAATGTACAAATTCGTAATTCTGTTAATTTAAGTTACCCAACAACTTTATCATATACCATCGCCATGTACTTGGTATACAGCTTATTTTAGAACCGCTTAGCAAAAATTGCACCACTTGGTGTAAAGCTGCACAAAGAATGATTCGTAATAACATCAATATTAAAATATATTGACACCTAGATTCGGGTTCATTAAAAAGCGATGTTTTTGGAATATTTATATCGGCGTAAAATATAGTTGACTTTTTTGAACTAGAAAGATTCGACTTAGTTAATATTAACATATTTTAACATAAGTGAATAGACATTTTTGTTTATCTCTAGTTTTTTTTACTTTGCAATTGTTTGTTTGTTATAGAAATTTGTATTTTCATATATACTGACAAGCAACAATAAATGAAATGAAATAGTTCTTATATATATATATAGTATTAGTGCAATGGAAATTTATAATAATATACGAAAACACGTAAAATAAAATATAATAATAATAATAATAATAAATAAAATAAAAAGTATTTGAGCATATATATGTCGACATTCAAATAAGTCTGTGCGCCTAAAATACTGTGATACTTCAAAATTTAAGCTGTGTTATAATATATTTATTATAATGTAAGATGAATAATGTAAGATTTGCTCATTCTTTAAATTGTGGAAAACATCCCTTATTTTTTTCAAAGAATTCATTATCTATTATATTTAAACGATAGAATTTCTGTCCATGTGGTATGTCTGCATTCAATCGACATTCAATTACACACGGTAAGTCACTAAAATATTTAATCGCGATGTTTGTCGTTACTCGCGACCTTCTGCTTATCCTTAAGGATCGGTATTCCCTTTTTATGCATTTTTCTCCAATTTTGTCTTAGTTTGTACTTGAATAGCATCAATTAACGATAAGTTTTTTTTGCTTCTATCATATAAGTTTTTGTATAAACAATGCACTCTAATTCGTCTTAAAAGCGTCAACTATCTACTCTTGAGGTTTAAAAAAAAATTTTTTTCTTACCCAAATCTCCGCTTCCCTTATTATAGTAACGACTATACGAAGAAATTTATCTTTCGATTTATTTTCTTTAAAAAAAAAATCCTTATAGGAAATATGTCTCACCAACCCGGACCAAATCATGTATTTGAATCAGAACAATTACATTTATCTCAGCCTTCCCAGACCTATCATAATCAACATCAATGGGTTATTATTGATGAATCATCCTCGATTGCTTCCCCAAATCAACGAAGCAATAGACCTTCACCTCCAGTACCAGTCATTAAGGTACCTTTTCCACCCATGGTTAATCCAGAAGAATTAATTACAAGACCAAGGAAGGTAAAGTCCAAGGTTCCCACAAAACCACCGAATGCGTTCATGATTTACAGAATGCAATACGTTAAAGAGCTTCATGCTAGAGATCATCGTTTGCCTATGAGAAGTGTTTCTTCTGCCGTGGCGAGTTCTTGGAGAGAAGAACCCGAACATGTTGTTGAGCATTACGAAGAAATCGCAAGAGAAGCAAGTAGGATTTATAACCAAAAGTTCCCGAAACCACCTACTCCTCAAAAAGGACCTGTTGCACGCCATTCTCGACGAAGGACTATAAGTATACAAAGTGGCATACCTATGACACATATCGATAATTCTCCAAGACCACACTTTCATTCTCTTCATAGATTTTATCCAAGTGATCATCATAGTCATCGATCTTCTTTAAGCACTATTGTTCATGGCCACCACAATTATCATATGCATTCTTCAAACCCACAAAATCAGGCTATTCCCTCAATGATGGAATCCCATTATTCATCTAACTTTCTCGGTAGACCTTCAATGCGTCCTCTTAGATCATTATCTACACCGTATTCAACTACAAACCATTCGTCAACGACTTCCCCTTTTCATATGCCTTCGCTGCCTCATGTTCATTCCTTCCATTATATGGACGATGCCGCAAATAATACTTCGGAATGGGACTTTGCAGCTTCAGCACATGCTTAATTAGCATACATTATCGAGTAATAACAAAATAATCGTCTTTTTTTTTTTTTTTATTGTAATTTCTTTTGAAAAATCGAATTTTAATATCATTTCAAATCTATCTTCGCGCAACGTATTACATAGAAAAAAACCTTTAAACTCTTCCGTTCCAACGAAATGTACAGAGAATTTTATGCCTATATTGTTTATTTTTTCTTTCTTTATTCGTTTCCTAATTTTTTCTGGATCATTTTCGATCCTTTTTTAATATCTGCGTTTATCTGAACAAAACCTTGGCGATGTGTGCCCGATCATTTTATTTTATTTTTTATTTGAATTTTTTTTTTTAATTACATAGTAAATTACCCCAATAACACATGAAACTCTTACGTTAATTAACGAAATTTTATCCTAATTTCTTTCCATACTAAAACGCATGCACTGGTACGAGCAGACAACAAAAGAATCACACACAAAAAAAAAAAAAAAAAAAAAAAAATATATATATATATATATAAGAAAAAAAAAAAAAAATAGTATTTTTGTATCATTTTTTTCTTTATTCCTTCTTAATTCTTTTAACAATTTCTTGCTATGTATGTATAAAAAAAAATAATTATGAGGTTTTTTTCTTTACATTAAAGTATATATATGCTGGCTTTTATCATCATTCATGTGATCTCACAAACACAACTAGTTTTTTTTTTCTTTTTTTTTTTTGTAGGAATATGCATTTGCGATAGTTTTGGATTAAAAGTTAAACGTTTTACTTTGAATAGTTTGGTGTTTAAATTAACCTATTTTCACCTTTTCGCTATGTATGTATAAAACATAATTATATGGCTTTTTTCTTTAAAGTATATGTTTTGAGCCGAAGTGCCGAGCAGCTTCAAGAAAAGTCATTCGCTTCATTTGAATCATCCGGTGTTTAAAGATCCAATCTTAAGCAATAATGAAATGAATAAACAATTTAATCAAATACAAACACTTTAAGAATTCACTTATATTCTTGTATTTAAATTTTTTTTAATATTTCGACGCGTATGTGAAAAATTTAAAGTGTTCGATAGCTTGTTTTGGTAACGATTGGCATAGAAAATTCCATTGTATCAAAAAATTGATTGGAAGCTTCTAGTCCAATTGATTTTATTATGCTTCAATTCTTCCAATAGTGCTTCCAATGAGTACATCCAATGTTCCAATTAAAACTCTGTAATGAAAAGTGCAATATTATTTACTCAAATTTACTCGTAAAATAAACTTTAAGTTACCATCTGATATCAGCTTTATTTGGTGATTTATTGGTGACTATTAGCGACTATTAATTCATTATCTTACCGTTTGTACAATTATGTAAAATTGTTATAATTACTCGAGAATAGTTTTAATCAAATAATTCATTGGTGTCAAAGAACATTAAAATCAACACGAGATGAGCTTAATAAAGATCTCCAAATATAAAATGGTTCATTAATAATACGATTGAAAGATCTATGCACATACGTAAATTATTGGATTATCCTATTAATGTCTTCATTTACCGATCAATCATTACTTCATTATCCACACTTTGGTTATTCACATAACTTACTTTGGAAAGTATGATATCAATTGTAACGTAAATTACTCATTCATTGAAGGAAGTTCGTTCACGCATTTGGCTATTTGTGCTCTGGTACTTCAAACGATCTTTCTCACATACGCAAAAGTCATTAACGTATGGAGTGATTGGTATGAAAACGAATCCATATGCAGAAGAATTTTGAATTTTTTTGAACATATAAAACTTTCCATTCAAATAGACAAATTGTCATCTTAATTTGTTATCGATTCAAATTTTCAAAAGTTACACGATGCATATTAACTTGTGGATCAAGGAGCTTGAAAATGCTTTGGATGCGCGAAAGAACATTAATTATTCATTGAGGAATTGTTATATTAATTTGACATTATTAATAATTATAGCTTCATAGAAATATTAAACATTTCGCATGGACACAATGTTCTTAGTGTTCTACGAAATACCAAATTCTATTTATTCACGCTATACTCGTGGGTTGTATGTCAATAATAACTTACAAAGAAAAAAATGTAAATCGTTTAATTATTTAACCAATGTTATGTAACGGGGCAGAACATGTGTGCTTGAACAAAAAAAGGGGACTAACGGAAAAGACGACGATGGCGATAAAAGATACTAACCTATTGTAGATATATGAAAAAAAAATTCTTTGACTTCAATAGGCTGACAAAAACAAATTACATCAATAGTAATCATAATAGTATGTCAATGCTAGTTAAATAAGTATCAATGCTAGCTGGTGTTGCAAATGATTACCCATTTGTGGTAAGCGAAGAGAATTTTGGATATATGGGATGGCGACTCACACGATTGCAAATTGGCCAGTGATAAAATTGAATATGTGTGTATAGGCAAAAGAAAAGGTGTAAGGTTCATTAACTTGTACACAAGTTTATATTGCACAACCGATTATAAGAAACTAATAATCAGACGTACCAAGTTTATCGTATACAAAGATATTTCAACTATCCCATATATTTTGTTGGGTTATGTGACGCTACTATGCGAATTGGTTGGTACTTTTTTTATATTATATTATTATATTATATTATATTATTATATTATATTATTTATTATTTATTTATTTATTTTATTTTTTATTTTTAATTTTTATTTTATTTTATTTTATTTTTTAATTTTTGTTTTTTTTTTACAAGGTCCAAATAAAATTACACTAAGCACCTTAATGATTAATAAATATTCGTCATCATTACCACTATAATAAAACTTCGCACTTTGCTTGTTATTAGATTTTGAGTGCTCTATTACCCATCTATTACCCATCCATGTTAACATATATGGGTCACAGCATGCTATTGTTCGATTGATAGGCTTATAAAACGAAGTCACCGCAATGCGGAGCATCAACACTTTATGCGTATATTATGTATAGTACTCGTCCATATTAAATAGATTCGTCTCTACCGATAATGTAAACTCGCAACACGATTCATAAAAGGGTCTATTTTGTTTGTTTGTACAGTATCAAATTCCTTAAAACATCAATGCAACCAATAGCCCCTAACTATCGTAAATACGTACTGCTTTTCCTAAATATTTAAAAGGAAAGATCAACATACCTATACTTATTTGGTTATCGTTATGTCTTGTTTTTATCACCATACATGCATTGGTACATGTGTCATTGATGAGGTTGGCTAATCTATTTGTCGCATCAGGCAACATATACAGGGCGACAAATATGCAAAACAGTACTAGCGCTAGAGCAGTTTGTTTTTTTTGGTTCAGTTAACTTTATACAAGCATGGCGATGACAATTGCAATTACCAAACTGAGACTTCTATCACAAATCATTAATATAAAATAAGATGATTTATTGCACTGTTATTGGTTCCATGTTAAGGACCATGTTATAATTAAATTCTGAAATGCTAGTTTTGACAGTACGAATTTCATCCGCAAATTTCTTGTTTTAGGAAAACAAGTATTTCAAGTGATATACAAGAATATCCATATTATTTTATTAATGGCTTAAGGGAGATATGCTCTTCTCAATTTAATAAAGTTAACACTAGCATACATTTGTCAAATCAATGTTCTTTCGACAATATAGTTTTTATCAGGAATTTATTAATTATTAAATGGCAATCTTAAAAATTGTGGTCGTGAAGCATAATGAACACATGATCTACAAAAGCCTATTCATTTATTATCAATTTATTGAATTTCTAGTGTATATTTAACACACTTCCAGTCTTAGAAGCATTCATAAAATCATTTAACGCATAATAGAGTGTAGCGATTTTGTTTTTGTTTTGTAACACGGGTTCATAGCCGCGAAATTTATGTAAGCAATTCACGATTCATCCATCCTTTTTATGAAAACCCATCATCTCTACATGACTCTAACACATGACCAAAGATTTCTTCTTTCATTTTGTTAATTCGTCCCTGAAAAGTACAATTTTTTGTCGTGAATCATGTCTATTTGTTATTCGTACATAAAGATATTTCTATATTCGTTTATCTCCTTTACTTATCCGCGTAACTTTCCATTTACTTCTATAATAATAATCTTTACAATATTATTAGTTCGTACTCACCTTACTGCAACAAATACGTGCCTAATCGTTGCGGAAACACACCATCCCCAAAAGCAAAAATTAGTTAGCGTGATAATTAATATATAAATCTAAAAAAATAAGATTGAAAGACACAGCATATATTTATGGTTAAACTTAATTACAGAATTATGTTATGTGTTCAGGTTCAGATGATCTGCGAAGCATTAAATTCTTATAACCCTTGTTTGGTTACGATCCTGCGAGTTCACGTACCCCAAGTCACATGAAATGACATACAAAATTGGGCGTAGCAAGATTTTATGTATCTCCTTAAGAAAATCCTAAGGTTCATAGATGAATTATCAATAAACAGTTGTTGCATGAACGAGGCTTACTAATATGGTGTAAAATGAAACTATATTACGATATAAACTGTGATTTACCGTTATACAATAATAAATTTTACCCTCGCATGATCCGGGATCTTTCCGCCCAAAAACTCCTATTTGTGCGTTGTGACTACTGATCTCAGTAAAAAAAATATACACACAAAATAAATATAAAATTCAATTGTCCTCCAGAAAAACTACAAAGTTTTGATTGGTAATACGTACTAACCCATGATTATTATATAGTGTTGTACTGTATGTCAACTATATTACATTCAATTTACTTTATATGCTATATATATTATCAAGTGGTTTTTAAAATCTAATGTTTTGGAGTGTGTTCAAGCACCATTCATATCGCGTAAATTCTTGTTAAGCGATTAATTTTATGTACTGTAGTTAGTACTCATTACTCTAAATCTTGGCGTATAACATACTTAGTCAATGATACTATATACGCTCAATATAAAAATATCTCCGATTATATGCTGATAAAATATTAATCTAAAGACTATTTGAACGCCA